GGATCAAATCAAGAACGATTCAACCTATTTTCCCGAAAATTTCAGAATACACCAATGTTACGCCCGCCTATATTTAATAATAATAAAATAAGAATTGTCATAATAGCAGCTACTTAACTTATAGGGGTTGCCTTGCTTTATTATAAGGCTAATTAACATCAAGTAAAGAATCACTGGTGCGTTGGAAATAATTTTCTATTTGGTAACGTAATGTACACTAGTACGAATATTTAGAAAAAGTTCAAGTACTTTTTCAATAATATTTCTATATTCATCATATACAGATATAAGGGGCAATTCTGAATCAAAGTTGTTAAATTTAAAGGGTGTTAAATTGCAAATTTCCATAGTAACGAGTTAAATTCGTAAATCTGATTGGTTGTTTATTTTTTAACAACCTTTAAATTTTAACAGGTTTGATTCAGAATTGGGCCTATAAGAACCAAAGTTGTAGGATTATTTAATGGTTATACTCTAATATTATTTATAACTATACAAAGTGTTGTTTTTAAGGTGTAACACACAACTTAAGTTTTTTTAAATGAAACACCCTTTATATTTACACAACTATTCCCATTAGCCTTCTCCTAGGTTTCATAATTACAGTTTATTTTTGGAATACCGATGCGACGTTGCCACGTTATTCCAATTTTCACACGAAAAAAAATGTAATAGGTTATTTTTGTAGTATGCCTTACAATATTTTGTAGAAGGATAAATAAACGTACGCGCCTTGTTGTGGTATCAATTAAATCAAATTCAAATATACAGAGTGTTTATAAAAAATTCAAAAACTTTACAATTTTCAAATATCCATATTTTTTGTTCTCATTCTTGTAATATGTCGATGTGTCTCTTAGCAAAGTCAAAAATCTCAGTACGTGTAGACAATAATTAATTTTTGAAAATTGTAACTGTTACAAGAGAATTATCAACACTCTGTATATCAGTTATACCACGAGAAAGTGCGTACCTCTATTTATTTCTCCACCAAATATTGTAACACAGATGTTAAAAATAACCCTACTGTATTTTTTTTATTGCTAAAAAATTTCAAGAAAATTGGAATAACGTAACAACGTCGCATCGATATTTCAAAAATCAACTGTACAGGATGTTTCACTTAAAAAAACGAACTTGTGTGTTAGGGCTTAAAAAACACTCTCTACAGTTAAAAATAATTTTAAAGTATAGTCCTTAAAGACCAGTAGAATTTTGGCCTTTGACTTTTTCTTTTATTTCTATCTAATAAATAATGCGATATTGACGAACGCGCGCTTAGTGACTCACCCTGTATATTAGTTTTTATTTCGTCCCGACAATATTTTAATCTGACTTAAAACTTCGTCGAAAAATAGAAAAATTAAAAGCATTTTTTTAATGAGTATGAACCAAATTTCAGGGTTCAAATATAATAAATATAGGGTCTTCACTATCCATGCGGCAAAAATTCAGGGGATTGCTCCTTGGGTTATTTAAAGATTTTTTTTTGTCTTGGATGATTTTCGGCCAATTTGTTTAGAGGATGGGGGCTGCAAAAACTGCTAAAAATGACTACTACCAGTTTCCCTTTTCCTCATTAATTACTGAATTAAAAAAAAAACCAGGGTTGTTTCTAACTGCATTGCCTTCAATCTTCCGATTTCCCTAATCTTTTTCATTTCCCAATGGAGTAGTATTAATGTTTTCAAATTGCTCCATAAATAAAAATCCAAACGATTTAAGCCCTTTTATCGTCCCCTACCTTCCAAACAAAGGTTTTTTTTGTAAATCATTCAAGAACAAAAAAGATTTAAAATAAGCCAAAGAACAACCTCCTGAATTTTTTTAGCATTTTTAGGAAACACCCTGTATAACAACACTGGGAAGTAACCGTAAGGTAACTTTATATGTATTATTTATTAATTAACCCAAAAGTAGTTTCTTTAATTCCACTTCAGCCAATAATACAGGATGTTTCAATGGATTAGCGGCGTAAGAAAATTTATGCTGGAAAAAATTCTATTGCATTATTGCTAGAAAAATTGGTCTTTTTAAAATTTAGAATTGCAACATTATAATAGATAGAGATTTGGAATTTTGTATACATCTTTAAATATGGCAGAATTGAAAAATTTTAGATATCGCACTGTGAGAGCAATACTCACGTAACTCAAAACCAGCGTGTTTTGAGTAATGATGCTTTAAAATTCCCAAGTGTTTATATATTATTTGTATCTTAAATACCAAAGGCTTCGAAATACATTATAGTCGTATTGTCAATCTATTATTAATCGTGTTTTTATTCCTTTAGAGTAGACCCTTCTACTCGTTATAGAAAACAAGAAATTTTGACTTACGTGACTATTGCACTGCTACACCATATCAAATATTTTGGCTTGCGTGTTAATAAATTTAAGACAAGAGCAAACTAGCAACACATTGTAATGAAAAAAATATAACAAAACACAAAACGATCACAGTATTAATTCATTCAACATCTACATTGACCGGCAAAAAAAACCGGCCACCCTGAAAAATTTCACAAAACCACTTTAAAACTTAATTTAACTAGTGATCGTTATTTTATTAAAGAATCATTCACTATTGACACATGATGTACAAATTAGCACAAAAAAAAAGATAATTAAACGCAGAATTAAATTTAATTTAACAAAATAACAGAAACAGACCAAGTACGATATTTTCTTAAAAAAAAAACAATAAAGGAGGCTGTTGTTGTAAATAGTGTTTTTCATCATTTGATTATAAGTTTGGCAATTAATAAACGTTTTCACGCGAAAATAATTCCGTTAACTCTTACAGACGTCTTTCAAAGTGTCTCTCTGTTTCTGTTATTTTGTTAAATTAAATTTAATTCTGCGTTTAATTGGCTTCTTTTGTTTGCTAATTTATACCTTATATGTCAATAGTGAATGGTTCTTTAATAAAATAACGATCACTAGTTAAATTAATAATTTTTAAAGCTTCGTTCTGCGGAATTTTTCAGGGTGGCCGGTTTTTTTTTGCCGGTCAGTGTACTATGGCTGAATTGTTATAAAATGTGTTATAATTTTATTTAATTCGTTTTTTTATACATAATTGATTCAGTCCATCGTATTTTTTTACGTATTGCTAAAGGACTTTCATAAATATTGTTTAATCATTTTCATTTAAGTCTTTCCTACCTTTCCTATTCAAAGAAAAATTGATTTCCATGTTTTTGGTCAATTCTTAACTATATCAGAAGACATTGTGCATTTGTTGTGTTCAATTTGTACCTAAATTAGTAGGAGTATCAGATTATCAACATCGACTGAAATCTCATGGCTTCATAGCTTATGTGCATTTCACTTAATTTTGAGATACGGCAGTCTTGCATTAAGTGCACAGGTAATGTTCGGAAATGCAATACAAACATTTTGATGAATTTGAGCATTACGCAACTATTAAAAACCGTTTATACTTACATATATTAAAATTACATTAACTTTTTTATGCATTAATGATAATTTTAGAATTCGGCAAATTTTGACTTACGTGAGTATTGCTCTCACAGTGCGATATGATCTTTTTTACAGACAATTCAAGCATGAAAAATCTGCTGATAGAAAATCTGTAGAAAAAGGGAAAACGTTCAAATGAAACATCCTGTATATACGAAAGCAAGTTTGAGTTATAGTCCTAATAAGTTCTATTAGATTGTATTAAAAAAAAAACTACAATTTACAGGAAATGCGTAATCTTTCGCCAACAACCCCCTTAAACACTCTGTACATGTACACCTTGGAATTTTAAAAGAATAAAATTAAGAGCGATCAAATGTTTTCTTAACTAAGAATAATTTATGGTTAGATCGACAAGTCGAGTAGTGACAGATAATCTACAGATGATAGCAATGACATAAATGACAGAACGAGGTGTTTTATTTTTGATCGCATGTTACATACTATTTTAATGTTTTCAAGGGTATGGTGTAACAAGTTAAAGCAAATTAGCAAGTTCCTGGTAATGCTATTATCAGCATTTCGGTGTCTATACTTCTAGCTCTGAAATAGTGAACATGGACCGACCAAATGACTTCATCCCTTCAAGACATAGGGTTATAAACTATTAGTACCGAGCTTTTCAGTGATTTATTGGAGTTTCGAAATAAAGCCATTAGAACTAATTTGGCCTATGTTCATAATTTTAGGATCTGAAATGTATATACTGATACTACGTATTCCGCTGTCTCAAATAAATTCGTTACGATTATTGCTAGTAGAAAAATAATACATCACATATTTTGTTAAAAAAAAGATGCAAAGATGATATTTAATTTGACGATATCTCTAATGAGAAAAACAATTAGCGATCGACGGTACACTTGACGTCCAAATGCCAAAAAGCCCTATAGCTTTGAATTGAAGTGCGATTTTTGAAAAAATCCATAACAGTAAAATAATGTTTCATTTGTCGTCCAAGTGGCAAGATCTTTTGCGACAAAGCACACTTTTGGCCATCCCTATTTGGCGTTATTACTATTAATCTAGTTTTTCGTGATGTGACACGTATGTTTTGGGCTTCTGTGCACGTCACACATCCACCGACCGCCGATCCGCCGCAAATAGATTACGTGATCCCATCTCAGTGATCTTCATGCACCACACGTCTTGGTTCGGTCGCAGGAATTGCAACACGTTACCGTATTGCCTCCCCTAAACTCCTATACCCTTAGCGGTTACGCCCCGTTCGCAAATTCCATCAATTCCGCCCGACGAACACATACGACCGAATTAAACACATCACTTAGCCCGAAGAAAAGACATTTTCTAACCATACATAAACACAATTTCGCTTAATTCCAAGAGCAACTTTTTATTGTGGAACAACGGTCACGGTATACAACAAGAAATGCTATTCAACGACTTTTAAACTAGAACACTTGTAAAAATACCCGGTTAATGCCAACTTCATACCTGACCCCTAGTAGCGAGGGACAGTCGACTGGAAGGAGTGCGGAGGATTGTACCACTTACCCATGGCGTCTGCAACAAAGAGAATAACAATGTTAGACAAAATCGACAGCGCTGATTAGCGAAATCAAGTAAATGATCTACAGTGAATGTGCACAATTTAATTTAATTCCGTGAAATTTGCATGAGAACTTTTTTTGTAGTTCAAGCAGAGTTGTAACGAGGAAGGTAACTGTATACGGTTTAGAAAATTATTATGTTAACTTAATTAAGAATCGACGAAGACATTATGCAAGTCATTGTAGACTCATGTGGCTTGTTTAGTTTCCTGGTGCTATAATTGTAACGGAGGACGGACTGATTAAATTCGAGATTGAACAATTCCGAAAAAGTGATCTCATTACTGATTAAAGCAAAGACCATAAATGAGCTTCCCTGCAGCGCGAGGCTACGCCGGGGTTAGCTTTCCCGACACGTGGGAGAAGAAAAAAACGGTAAGCCTTATCCAGTCCGGCGCAACGTTTTGCGAAAAGAAATATATAAACAACAACACAAATATTGATTTTTTTTTTGTTGAAAACAAAATGTCACGAGTTGTAATTCCCGGTCAAGCGGGAAAAAAACAGAAAAAACCGTTGAACCTTTTGTCACACTATCTATATTAACTAAAAAACGAAATATATACAAAAATATTAATAAAATAGATTAAATACACAACTTCCGGAGGAGTAAAACCGGTTCCGTTAGAATGGATTTTTTCTGTCTTTTTTTTTCGTAGGGTGAAAGTGGCAGCTCATGATAATCCCGAGTAGGTTTTTTCGCTCCCTGGAATTGAATTTTTGTAGTTTCTGAAAAAAGGGAGTTATAACTCGTGACGTTTCCTTGTTGAAATTTCCCGATTGACTAAAACAAATATTGTCTAAAATCCATTTTTGGAACACTAGGGTAAATAGGGTGAAATGATGATTCAGGTAAGGTGATAAATTAGATGATAACAGATTACACCGCATTAAAAAAATTGGTTTAAAAAGATTGGAGAGTTCCCTCTCTCTCTGAAGCGTCCAATACCCCGTGCAAGTTAGGGCGTATTTTTACTTTACAAGGTAAATAATAATTCATGTTTTCTCGACGTTTCATGATCTCTAGAGTATAAAAAATTAGGTTTCACGTTTCCATATGTCTGTATGCCTGTCTGTTGTGTCTGTCTGCCATTTGTGTCGATAGAGAGTTAATCTTCGAAACTAGTGGATTGACCATTGTCATTATAGGTATTTTAATAATATTGTATCGCATCAACAATTTGATGACGTCGCTTCGAAATTTTGCATGGCAAATTTTATTTAAATTTTATAAAATAACATACTGCAGTACTCCAAAGGCGACAAATTTTTAATCGAGAAGTCTTTGTCTGTAGGAACAAATAATCTGGGCTGGTCTCTTCTGTGGTGGAACCGCTACATAAATTAAACCATGGTTAAATACTTTTCGATTTCTTCTCTTTGGTCCGCATAATTTTGTTTGAGCTTTCGCTCCAGCCGTCAGACCGAGGTTTTCAATTTTAATTTTGGCCATAGCCACGTTGTTTAAAAAATGGATCGCTCGGTGCATTCTCGGTGTGCGTGTTTCCTTCATATCCGCAGTGCTAACTTTATGACCATGGCACACCCATTTCTGCCACAGCTCATTTATTTTTTGCCTACGGTAGATCCTTTCGGCCGCCGCCTCATTTCAAAAATCATTTCACTTATCTCATAAGGGTTGTTTGTTAATTACGCAGCGAGTCAAAGACCCGGTTTAATTAAAAGTGCCTACCTGACGGCCACCTTATCCGGTCTCTTGAGTAGTGCAAAACGGTGTTTGTGCCGATACGATCGGGCCGAACGTAACCCCCGCCGACATTCCATCAAATTAAGATCAGCATTCAAATGGCGCTCGAATGCAAATGTCGCGGAATAATGCAGCAGGAGCATCGCAGGGGCGTATATGTGGCAAATTTCACAGAAAATTTTATCGGCACTCAACAGCCACTGCTGCGAATTTATATTACTGCGAGACGGCTCGAGATTCCTGCGAGGAGAATCCTGCCGCACGTCCCTGGACCGAACGGGATTGAACATTCCATTTTTCTGGTTGCGCTAAAACTGGTCTCTGTGGCGTTGTCATAATGCCGAGCGGCATTCCTCGGCGCCGGGGGCCCTCAAACGGTTCTAGCGCGGCCTCAAAGTCTTCCCCCTTCGCCGGAATCGACATTTTGGGACGCGCTGGACGCGAGAACGGCCGCGGCGAATTCCAAAAATGCGTTTGAGAAGTGAAAACAAAACGTGGACCGCGTTCGCAATTACCGAGCCGGTCCTGTTATTCCTTCGGATCATTCGACCACGGGTGTCCTTGCACCTGAAGGGGGCAATTATCGAGTCAACACACTTGCAATTATTGGATATTGAGATGGTGTTTAGCAAACTGAGTGACATGGGGGTCGAACAGTCGTCATTGGCTGTCGACAGGATACGCTTGTCCGATCTTAAGGGCATTAGTACGCTGAGATCGATGTACAACGCCCAACGAAGCTCCATAAGTATAGAAAAGAAAGAAATCTCGCTTCTTTGAAAAATTATAAAGTTAGAATTTGCGATGTTTGTTTTTTAATAACCTCTATAAAGTAAAAACCAGCGGCATAAATAACACCCCCGCAGACCCTGCGCCGTACGAACAATGTAGAATATATTTAAAATACATTACTACCGGAATAAAATATCCGTCAGCACTAGCTAATAGCAATCTCAAGTGTTTATTTCTGTTTATACATCGAAAGAATGTCATGTAGAAATTTGTTTGATTTGAAGGATTATTAATAATCCTCAATCCAACAAAATATTCCGAATACTATTATTATAATTTCACTGGATACAATACTTCCTTAGCTTACGCTGGGGAATAAAACTGGGTGAGAAGATTTAAAATAACGTTGAATCTCACGGATTATGGATGCATAACACAAGACGTTAAGCATAGGAAAAATCAATACAGTATAAGCAATTCCACAGTCGATGAAGTAAAGTTGTTAAATAAAATATTGTCTGCATTTACTTAACTTTTCTGTTGTGCCGCCATTATAAAAAATGGTCGAGGTTTCCTTTATGTCTGTGTCAACTCGATTACAACATTACAGAAATAGATCAAAGTAGATGTTTAATGTTAACGAGCGGCTTGGAAAAATAGAAGGTTATTGTGTAAACGTTGTTAGGTGAAGAATATGCATCAAATTACACGTTGCGATGTTCTTTATTAGAATCATTTACCTCAGTAAGTATAAGTTGTAAGATCGGGCAAGAAGAGCGTAACAACAGACCTTTTACGAGACGTTACACGTTCGTGGAAGTACGGGTCGAGTTACAAGAATGTGATGGATTGAAGTCTTAATGATGGATACGTGCGTTGTGTGCTTTGCTTATTTGGAGATCTTTCGATAACAAATTCTATTCTGTTGTCTGAAATCCATTAAGAAATATGTCTGGTACGCTGTTTCGGTCGGTGGGAATTTCGCAAGTTGAATGTATCGTCATCATCTCGGTGGCTCGAAGGCTTCTTGGATCGAGTTGTTGGGTATTGTTGGGAGTGGAGTTGTACAGCGTGGTCGTGAAAGGCCGGGACGTGGAGGTAATAAATAAATAGCCGTATTCCATTGTGCTTAATGGCCGTCGGGGGAGAGGACGCCTTTGTCTATCTTCGACGGGCATCTCCGCGATATATACAAACTGTCGGATTTGTGCGGTTTTGATAGAGACGTATCGAGCACTTCGCCCAGCAGGAACCCGGAAAAGAAACGCTGCTTCTGCTCCAGCGGCGTTGTCAGCGGCTGCTGCATTATCGACGCAAAGACAACGAAGTCAAATTCACTTTTTACGGTATTGGGACTAATCAGAACAGGTATACATATAGTGAAAAATGGCCGAATATAATATACAATAATGTACAATGTACAATACAAAGTTCGCAAATGCACTACAACTAACAATATATTTTAGTCGTTCTCTATGGTATTAAATTTACACTTAAACATGTAATACAGCATGTAATAAGATCTTATTGTTGCTATTGTTTACACTCCATTTGAACCACTATGGTGATTTATGGGCGGCTCGTTTTCAGTAGCTAAGTAGCCAATAGTAAACCTTCATTCACATTACAGTCTTTGATTTCCGTTTACACGATCAAATAAGGCGTTTGTTGAAATTTTTAACTGAACGCGAAGACTGACATTCCGGTAAAGGTCTGAAACAACAATAGCGCCGTCTAGTCGGCTAAGGTAAAAGACATCCAACTCTTTATCAAGTTGTAAAATTCATTACCTTTGCAGTTACAGCAAGCACTCAATTAGCAGACATTGTAAGTCGTTTTTAAGTCGATGATGCGTTAAATAAGATTTCGAATTAAATTGAAGCCTACTCAAAACGGATTCAATACAAATCACTACTGGTACAACCGTGTTCGAAATATATTATCGCATATATAATTTAATGGATTAATAACACGAACGATCAGACGGTGTTATTGACTGCAGGAATACTTTTTCTTGGTTAACCAACAACGCAAAAAGTAATCCTGAGATGTTTTTCGAAAAAAAAAAAACAATTTTTTTTCTGATAAAGGTAGAATTTCACATTCCGGCGTTCGACCGTCATGAATCATAAACACCAATTTTTTTATGATTATTGTTTCTGCAAACATTACGCAAAAGTGGTGTGGTTGACTCACGGTTTACTGGAAAGATAAAATCATACGTGAAGGAATTTGATGTAAAAATTCATGCCAATAAATAGAAAACCTGAGCAGCCGCTCGTTGCTTCACAAGATGAGGAGATGCCAAGTATGTGTCAATGTGTCCATTTGATTAGTTTTTGGTGACAGTAGTTGAATGGGTACGAACAGGACATAATTTTAAATAGGGAACAACGTTATGCCTATTACTAGATAAGATCGTAATTTTTTGCAGTCGTGATATATGACATGAAAGTGATAATGAAGCTTTAATTTGTATATTTTTAACATCCTGAAAACTAATTACCTAATGT